ATCGTAGTGCATCTGCAATTGATACTATTATAAATGTGATAAGTAGTATGTTACGGGTTGGGACGGGTTCCGCGGATGGGTAGATATATAAGACAAGAAATCCTGATAGATTAAAAGATGGACAAAGTTTTAGATTTATCATATAATTGTCGGATTATATAATGAATCACATACAAAAAAAAAAAATAAATCTCTTGTTACTATAAAAAAAAAAATAAATTAAAAAAAAAATAATAAAAATAAATAAAATCAAATAAATTAGAATTGCATAAACTTGTACGATTTGGAAGCCTAATCTTTGAGTATACGCCTGATTACAGTACACCCAACACCTTGCAGTTCTAAGTTAATAAGACATAAAAGGCACGCTTTCCGCATACCCTTGTTAAAGCAGTTGAAAATATCAGATAACTGAGCCTACCTATAGAAGTGTGTAAAAGTTTTCTTGGGATTTCCCAATTCTTTTTTACTTGCATATCGTTGTTCTCGACACCATTCACTAACCGATTTTCTTGCTTTTTTCTTTTTTTCAAGCCTTTTAGTTTATGCTTAAGGTGATAACCACCCTTTGGTGTAATATTACGGTGTATAGCCATTGTATAAGAAAAACTTATGAAAAACTTTACGAATTCGTCTACACATGAATGTTAAAGTTCATTTATAAACTTTTGTACTTAATGAATTTCTATTGGTCCAATATGCAACAAACCATGCGAATTTAGCTAGCACTAGTGATATAGTTTTTACGTAAACAAAACAATTCGGTTTTTAATTGGCTATTGATAAAAATACCACAGGTTGTACAGCTTGGTCTATCTGGGAATGGCAAAAAAACATCTTTGCCGTTTGAATAATTTGACATATTTTGCCGTTCTAACCTTGTGTCCAACTTTCATTTAACTTATAAAACTATATTATATAAAAAGATATAAAAATTAGATCTTAAATTAAACACTCATCATCTCTAAAAGTAGGTTATCTTGAATTATTGGCATTTTTTTTTTTTTTGGCTGTCTCAATAGTTCGTTGAAAAACGTTACACGATTGATAAAGAATTGTTATACTTTTTTAGATGAGTCATTCATATATATTTATTTTATTCTGAAGCTTTCGCGTATACTATGTACATCATTCTGGTTATATCGATCTATATACTTAATATGAAAATGCGGATAACCTCTTTGCTTTTGGAGTGTAGATATAACCAGAGGACGTGTATTTAATAATGCTGCATATACAGTATTAAATTTTAGTTAAAATATATCAATATGCGTATAAAATATTATATTTTCCAAGTTAAATTTTATCAAATAAAAAAGTAATAAGGTAAAAGGAGGTATTATGGCGCAGTTAGGAAAAAAATCTAGCGTATCATTTTTAATATATATTAGGCATTCAATCTAGCGAATGAAATTGTCGTCCAAATTTGGATCTTAAAATCATA